AATGCCATCGCACAGACACAACGATATGATTTTAGTTCTGCTTATCCATACAGTTGGCAGACCCTTACTATTTAATTCACGAGGTAAAAGATGCATTTATAGAATGTTACACGCAACGCATAATTATCTCCGAAAAGTTTAAGAGGGAAAAGCATTAAATATATATATGAAGAAACTATCAAATCGAAATTGATATAAACGGTCGATTACACCGTTAAAAATGGATCTGTAGATACCATGAATTTCCTCACTTTTCGTTTTTTGACGTCTGCATTTAACGAAAATATAATGTTTGTGGCATTGGATTTGATTGGTTCAACCGGCTAAGCCTATGAAGAGACAAAATGCGAATTCCCCTCATCTGTGCCATCTTGTATTCCATAGTTGAACTCAATTTAGTTACAATGAATTGAATCGAAAAAGAGAAAAAAACAACAACAGTAACATGGCTACATAGATCTGTTGACCAGTGAGATACGTATAGCAATGGAATGAAAGAATGAAGAAAGCGTATATGTGTATGTATGCATCAGCACGCATAGATGTACAGCTCTGTGTGGCCGTGCTATTGTTGTTGTTTTTTCACTTTTTCATTTCAATGCTACAGAATTAAATTCAGTTTTTGCATCTAATTCACACTAAAATCAGATGGCGCTCATTAGCGAGATTCGCAAAAAAAAGTCTCCAATCTCATACAAATATACACCGGCTGGATTGGTTATAGTAATAGAAAATCTCGAAGCAATAAGAAACTTTTTGCTATACGTAAAAAGTGGTTTATTTAACATTCACGTGTCTAAACGATGACATTTACAACGAGCGAAGTGTTTATGTTTTTACAGCTAAGCATCCCCTTAACATTGATTGCTTCAGTGATTCCGGCTTGGTAGCTGCGATTTGGTATGCTTTATATCACAAACGACAGACCCGATTTAAAACATGTTGTTGTGAATGCCGTGAAGTATATTTTGCTAATTGGATCAATAAAAATTATGGCATAAACGTGAGATGTTTATTTGTGCGAGTTTCATGCATATATGTTATACGTAAATTTGCCGTTGTCGTGAAATGAAACTATTATATCACCCTTTATATCTAGACGTTTGGCAATTGCATGCGATTCTGATGGCGGATAACAGTGGCGGATTAAGACTTTGATGGGTCTCACTGCGACAATTTTTTATGGGCATGTTTTTTTTTCTTCTTTTTTGATAAACCAATTGTATTTGTCACAAATATTGTCATCTAGGGCGGTCATTTTCAAAAATAAAGATCTGCTAAACACTATGGGAAACAATTTTGTTATTAGCATGACAATCTATATAAGTTGTATTAATTGAGCATTTTTCTTTGGAAATGTGGGCCCCTAAATCGGTTAGGCCCTACAACACATTGACGTTTTTTCATTGATGATCCGACACTGGTTGGTAGATTCGAGTTGAATGTGTTATACAAACGATTTTTTTCTCTCTCGAAATGAACTTGAAAATTCCAACCCAATATATTGTAGAGGGATAAGAATGGCTCGAGGATGTTTTTGCTCTCGAATCTACTTTTTCTTCTACATTGAACGCAATACATCAAAGAACTCCGATAAAATCAACTGAAATCGTACGTGAAATTCATTGATGCGTTTAATGCTAATCGAAATGTAGTTTGAAACTTCATTTTCCGCATCCGTGTTTTATTTGTTATCTTATCTTTCTGTCTGTTAAATGCTTGAAATTTCTTCGGTTTTTTTCTAAACAAAGATAGCACTCAATAAATGTTCTGAATCTGACCGACGCAGGACCGATATGGTAGATATAGTAGATATAGTGTAGTAACGATGAAAACTCTTTTGATTATTTAATTTATGTAACATATAACTTGACACGAAGGCTAGCTTTTGGTGTCAATATTATTGTAATTTATTGAGATTGATAGGCGATCGAAAATAATCGATGTAATGACCATTTCGTTATTTTATTTTGTTTACTATGTGGTAGTTCTGATTTCTAATTCACCCCGAATTAAAAAAAAATATATAGAAAATATATAGATTCATCGAATGAAGACAATATTTGCACATTTGTACATGGAAATTTTAGTGGAATTTAACTTTTGTGCCGTTTTCATATATAACCACATAAGTTGGAACTGAGAAAGTCTTTGTCTCTAACTGAGAAAGTATTTAACTGTCTGCTCAGTTTCTATAGTATTCTTTCACCATTGTCCCGTTTTCACTTCCATTCATTTTGTTACAAAGTCTCACATGCAATGAACGCATGGGTAGGGGCATATAGGAGCTTTTCATTTATTGCTCGTATGCTGCTGCATTTATCGATTTAGTTGGAGATAGAGTCTAAGAAAGTTTTCTAGTTGATTCCGACTTCTATGGAAGAACACACGAATTTTTAACCATTCATGCAATCAAGGCATATACACATATACTCTAATTCTCGTCTCTTTTCATTTTGAAAGCAGATTTTTTTTTTTTTTCTTTACAGTATAAATGATGAAAGAAAACACACTGTGCATTTCTCTTAACTTTATCTGGTGGGAATAAATATATTCCATTTGCGTCATTTTCCAACATAATTCTATGTCTATATGTGTGTTTCAAAGTCGGCATAGAAACAATTTTCCTATCATTTTTTTTATTGAAAAGTCGTAACTAACATATCATAATGACATAAGAACATTTCAAATGCAGCACATATTTCGACACTATCAATAAGTGATGGAGATATTTTTAAATATGAGAAATGCCATTTGTGTATCTTTTTTTATCCGCTTCAATTATTTTCGGTTCAAATCTATCGAAAGTAAATTAAATGAAGTCAAGTGGCTAGGACATTTTACACCTGAATATTTTGGACGAAAAATCTTAAGTACCGAAGCGGATAACCACTCTTTAATTTCACACGATAATATCTTGCAAAATATTATTCATGTGTGCTGAATTTTTCACCAACTTTCTCTACTGTTTGCTTTCTCTACTGTCTTATGAATTTTAATGTTTTTATTAGAATTGTATGAATTAAATTATTTTTGAAGATTTTTCGGCTTTTTCACTCTAATACGCAATAATTTAGAAATATATCTCCAATACGTATGTAATTTCAGATGAATAAATGCGTTTGTCACTGTCTGATGTTATTAATTTTATGGAAATCGACTAATAAGAATTTTCAAACTTTGTCCTCTCGAGTTATATTATAAAATCCGCCAAATATAAATGTTGTCTCATATTTAAGTGATTAAATGTGTTAGTTGTAAATGACGAGTACTTTTAAGCTGACTCGAAAAGTTTTACATTTTCACATTTTTATGAAAATTCTGGGCTTTTATGGTATGGAACCAATTTAGTCAATCTTTTTGGTTTCAAATACAAGAATAAGAAAAAAATCGAGACGTATTGAAAACACTTTGTGGTAAAGCCACGGTAAAATGCTTCTTTAGGAGTTTGAAAGGTACTCTTTTGTGGAATATAATCGGATGAATACACGCGTATGTTGATTTTCCCATCATGTTCGTTGGGTTTCTCCCATTTGTTCGTTCATTTTGTATGAGTCTTGGTGGTTTTGGATGGGTATCTCTCGAAGAATGGTGCGTTACTACAGATGCCACTTTGTTTTGCGCCCATTAAAGTGGAATGAATGCACTTCCTTACGAAACATTTCAATTATGCACTGCTCAATGTCGCCTTTTGACCATTTCCCGGTTGTTTGTAAACATTTTCATGCAAATGAATAGTAAGCATGAAGCATAGCAAAACTGCGCCATTGTCAAAATCGGAAACACTGTGATCAATTTAAAATATACATTTTACTATGTGTGAGTGGTGCAGCTATTGTAGTCAACCAACCTTCATCGTGATGTACAGTGTACACACATCACTAACATCACAAAAACGGTAGAACAATGCAAGGATCCGAGAAAATGTTTCATATTGATTTTATTTCGCAAGATTAAAATACTCTGAGCATTCACTGGCTCCGTATTCTATATCTAAACAATGTATTTTCTTTTGACCACGAAATGCACGTGTTAAACGGAATTATTAAAAATAAATTCAAAGATTGTATTTACATTGACGACTCTAGCGCAACATTAAAGTGATACACGTTTTGTTAAAAAAAAATCGGCTTGTATACGGTGACACTGCTAAATGTACAATTGTAAATACATCGACACACCAAACTACGCACATTGAAGAGAAATAAGTAAAGACATGTTGAATTCCGGATTAGTAAGCATCTGTATAAAAGTTTCCATTGAAAACTAGAAACTAGCCTATGCATTATAAAAGTTTCTGTACTCATACAATGCATTCAATTGCTACCAAAAACATAGAAATATTACCAAAATATCAATTGGGAGATAACGCCGAGTTGCATAGACGAGGGAGAGAGAGAAAGAGATAGAGAACGCCTTGTTGTTTGTACGCCCTCTTGTTATCGAGCACTTGTTGTTTGTTTATTTATTTGTCTAACAATACAATATAAAATTCGAGAGTCAAGCGCAATAAGGGCACACTATATAAACGCCATCTATTAATAACCGACTAACTACAATGTAAATCAAACGTATCTGTTTCCCCTTTTTATTTACTCCCTTCCCCTCTCGCTATACTTTTACATTGTAGTTAGTCTGTTTTACAAAGATGTCGTTTCTGTGTAAGATGTGTGACGTCACAATGTATTTATATGGATAGCGCTCGACTCTCGATAAAATTCGTATGAAAGCGGCAAAGACTAGGGCAAAGAGCTTACCGACACAACGGTATCTAATATATTAACATTATCGCAAGCTTAGTCAATAGTTTTTTAACATAAAGCATAATAACTGTTGAAGGGTTTTGTACTATAAAAGGTTTGAGTATCGGATATGAACATTAGCTATTTTGCTATTTTCACAGCAAATTGCGATAAAATTGTGTCAACTACATACTTGAATAAAAATTCCAATTTTTTTGAAATTTCATTATATTTATTCGATAAATTCATAGTACTCAAATTAAAAATGCTGATTAATGTAACAATACAATGGTTTTCTTTGAAAATCACATTTAATGAACAAATTATGTCCAATTCAACTTCCTTATTAATAATACAAATATCAAATATGATGTATTTCTTCAGCGGTAGGTTTAAATTCAATTAGCATTCGTTCCGCTGAAATAACGTTTCGTATTAAATTTCAAGATGAAAAACGTTGTTGCCTTTCAATTTGGTCGACTTCCGCCCATGCACGCCGTACAGTTTTGAATAACTGAAATAAATAAAGTTCAATCAACAATTTAAAATTGAATTTTTATCTTACAAAAGTTAAAAAAAAAAAAATCTACCTGTCCTAGCCAAGCTTCATCGGCAAGAAGTTCATTCAAAATGACTGTAGAACCTTTTGTTGGATCTTGTGCATTCTTTTCGGCCACTTTTTGTGAACACTGCATAAACATTAAGTATTTTTGATGGGCAATCTTATGGAGTAATTCACATTGTGTCAGACAGCTTCGACATAGTAAGAAATCCTATATAGTTGAAACGAAATATCGAATAATTTAATAATTTATTTTATTTTATTTTTTTACCTTGTCTAATGAAAATCGACTATCCATGGAAGCGGGTCCGATTGTGTTTGGATTCAAATGGATTGGATTGTATGGTTGGCCGTAAAGAATTATTTTTGATGTAATATTACGTTTATTGCATGCCACACATATGATTTGACCATTGTTTGTGACATCACAATCGATAATGTTGGAACATGGCCATGTTTCTATCAAATGTAGCATTCTTGTTGGCCATGCTGTCATTGTGTTTCGCAAACGAAGTTTCCGCTGAGTTGTAAGATCATCAATTGTTTTCACATTTGATATAAAATATTCGTCTGAAAATTCAAAGAAATTTTTTGACCATTTTGACATATACATTTGTATACTATAAATGAAAATGAATATGTATCGTGTGTACCTTGTTCTTGCATAATTTCGGTAAGGAAATTGGAGTCAAGAGCTTGCGATATGAGTGTTTGAATGTAAACTTCAAATTGCTCTTGAGTATTTGAAAACTCCTGTATCACCTTTTCAATGTACATTTCAGATGTCACCGAACATAGATCACTGCGTTGCAGCTCAACATGTAATTCGTGCTGTAATTGTCCAACATGACTGCATTTCACGAGAATGTACGACGGACGATTTTCCAGACTCCATTGTGCATACTATAGTTATTTGAATGAAAAACAATATTAGGCACACATTTTTCTTCGACTATGGATATTTATATGATGAAAATAGTTCTATAACTTCTATATTTATAGGTAATTTTCTGTTCTTACCGTTGATAGGCTGCGATAAACCGTTTTATTATTGCTGTGAAATGGTTCAAATTTTTGCAGTAGCGTTTTACTGTTAACACGCCAAATAGCTGGCCAATCTTGAAAAATATCTTGTCGACTTATGATGAAATCCCCGGTTTGGAGGTCTTGGTTGTTTATATTGCCACTCGTTCCATAATTAAGTTGTGTGGAAGAGCTATTGCTTGATTTTTGCTTAAAATCAGAATATGTATTTTCTATAAATGAAAAACATTATTTGTAATGAATTTTTTGTTTAATACTTATACTGATAGTATGATATGTATATGATAGCTGTTGACCATGGAGAAAGAATGAAAAGTATTTGAGAAAAAAACGTCATCCTTTTCTTTAAGAAAATTGTATTGTTGTTATTTTTTGTATTCTTCGCTTTTGTCAAAAGCCTTTTGATATGAAGTTATCTAGAAGATTGACTCATTGCGTGAACTTATGACTAAGGTGACCATTTAACTAAGGATTTGAATACTTTGAATAGCATAAAGAATGAATGTTCGCTATTTTGTACTATGCGTTGTGTGTGTTTGTTAAATATTAAATTTGTTGCTGTTTTATAAAATATTGTTAATAAATATGGAAGAGCATATTCATTATTATATATTCTAGCACTGCGTACGCATTACCACCATTGACCACCATATTAATGAGTCTTTGCTCAAGGTATCGAAAAGGCTCATTTTGATATCTTAATAGATGTTAATGAATTGATCGATTATGCTATTAATTTATGCTTCTATTCATGAAGTATTATCATCGTGATGATAAGTAAATAAGCAAAAACGCATGGGGTTAACCACCAATCCAGTTTTGCTAGTTTTCCTAGTGCGTGAAGTTGGTTATCTTGGTAGTTTGACGTACAAACTGTACCCATATTAGTGTGATAAATGCCTGTTTTTGCTTGTTTTTTTTTTCTAGTTTGGTGGATAACCTTTTGCAAAAAGCGTATGTAGTGGAATTTTACCTGTATCATATTGTGATTTGGTGGTTGCGCGTTTTACACCCGATCTATTAGTTGTTCGCGTTTTTCGGGTAACTTTTCGACGGGGCATGTCATCATCGTCATCATCATCGTTTGTCTAAATTTTAGCGATAGATTGAATTCAAAATTCAAAGTTATAAAACAGAAAAGTTGTGTACTTCATTTCGATTGCAAAACAACCTTTTGTGGTGTCCATGCGGGATCTGTATCGGAATCGACGAATTCGGGCGGTTCATCTAAGTCATCAGTTACGTCCAGGCCTAATGCTTGTTTTTGCATTGCACTCATAATACTTCGACCTTTGGCCTTACGATGTGACGTTTCACGACGAGCTTGTGGTACCGACAGAGGATCTATATCTCAGAGGAATAATTTTTATAATGATAGGCAGCTGATTTTTGTTTTCGCTGTTTCACTGTCAGGTTCCGTTGGAAATGACATGGTTTTTCATAAATTCAACATATTTGTACCTACTACTTAGTACTTACCTACTATTTTTAAATTATAAAAAAAACCATGTCTATTTCACATTATATCTAAATAGGTAATATTGCTGAAGACAGAGGTGGTGATTGGTGAATGCCAAAATTTTCTTCCAAATTATACTCCGAACATCCATTCGAAATAAAAGAGTGGAATGTATAACGGTGCATTCCAAAATTCAATGTGTTCTGTATCGCTTGATTGCCCAAATATAACATCGTTTACAAATAAAATAATCGAAACAGTTTTTAATCAATCATTTGCAATTGTTTATTTGTTTCTTTTTCATTGTTTGTTACTATTCTCTTTTTTCTGTGTGTGTTTTTTTTTTCTTTTACGTTTTGCATTTATGATTTAATCGAATGGTATTCTGGGATTCGAATGTATTTTTCATTATCTTCACATCATTTAAATTGATAATTTTTAATAGCATAATTCTTTTTTTTAACTCTATTATTTATAACTTAAATATTTTGTGATATAAGATTGAAAATCAAATTATAAATTTAGCAGTCAGTTTTAATTCAGAACACACTTTTTTGCTATAAATTGAAAAGATGTTGCCTTTGGGATAAAAAAAAGGCTTACTCGTTTTCAATTTTTTTTATTTATTTTGTGTTTTTTTTTGTATGTTTCTTTCTTTCTTGTTTTTACATGTCGTGTTGTGTAAAATAAGAAAAAAAAAATATTTACATTTTTTTGTCTCCGTACTTTTGTTCTTTATATATTCTTTTGAAGCGGAAATCATGGGTATATTCTTGAGCTATTGACTGTTAACACTTTTTAGGGACAATTTATTCATAACAGAATCAATAATTTAGCTGATCAATACAAGTAATGAAAAACATGTTCTAAAATGTTTTTAAATGTTTTAAAGAATGGACACTTATTCTTATTTTATTTTCATGTCCGAATATTAGTTTTTCCGTTTGCTGATATTGCATAATCACGCATGTGATGTGAAATTGTTTGTCTCTCTTGGTGAAATGGAACTTTTAAATTCGATCGACTATTTTTCTTGTTTGGTAAAAATTATTCAACTGAATCTTTTTAATTTATAAAAACCAATTTGTCTGAACAAAAAATTTATCAGCAAATATAAGGTCAAATATATGCGTATAAATACCCGCCAATTTATTTAAAAAGAAATGCCACCACACAAAAAAAAGCTTAAAATTATACAAATTTATTTGAACTCATAAACAAATTTATATAATGGAGATATTTCAACAGGCTATTTGAAATTTAAATTGGGTTTTATATTCGAAATGAAAAATCTAACTAATGAAAACATTTGAGAATTTTTCGAACAATTCGGTTCCATTACTATAAGTTTTATGGGAAAAAAAAATATTCGAGATAATTTTGTTTTTTGAACAAAGAAATGATGTCAGCGATATTTTTAATTTTTGAGATTTTTTTTTTGGACTACTTTGTAGTAAAATAATTTGCTTGGACAAAAAAAAATTATACACAATTCTGCTGAAAAAAAATTCACTAGCCAAAAAAAAAAAAAAAAACAAGAAAGATGTAAAACTACAATTGTTTTAAGTTCTTGAATCACAAAATATTAGAACCATATGCGAATTTCAAGATGCTGTTCACTATCGCGTTTTTATATATTTTTAAACACGTTTTACATCTTTCCGTCTGTAAAATATACAATTTAAAAGCATTTAACCAGCTATGTTAAATCTGATTGCTTCTATCTATAATTACATATGTTTGCCAAAGTTATTGTACCATTTCTGAGACCGTTAAAAATAAAAAATGGTTTTTAAACCGTTTGATATAAAATGCATAATTACCGGAAATGTAGTCAATGCAAATGAATTCAGTAGTTTTTTTTGTAAAACTGTTGTGCCTTGTATTTCAAAATTACAACTTTTGATAACAAAATAAACATAGTTCTTGCATAAGCAAGAAATTGTAAAATATTACATAATTTTTGAATTTGATTTTAGTTTAAAATTTTGGCATGAAATATTTGTTTGGATTTCTCCGGATTTTTTGAATTATAAATAGGAAATAAAGGAAATGTTCGTAAAATATAATATTTTTTTTTTAAATTCAAGTGAAAGTCAAACCAATTTTGGTTATTTTTCACATTACATATGTTAAATTAAAAAAAAGTTTCGATTTTAATCAAAATCAATTGATTTATATGTCACATACAGATTTGGGCGTAACGAATGTGTCCTATCCTAACTATCAAACACTGAACTTTAGTTGAAAAAATGGAAAGATATGCATTTGGTTGCATAAACTGTAGCATTGCAATAAGTTGCGAGTTCAGGGCGAGAGAGAGAGAGAGAGAGATGTATTGATATCGAGTTGAGGTGACGGCTAATTTATATCTAAAAAACTGATTCTCACGTCAATTTGTTATTCGATTGTGAATTGCCGAGCTCAAGTGAATTTATAATGCCTGTTGATTGAGAGTAATTGAATGTAGTAAAAAAAGCATTATATTATAAACAAATAATTACAAAATATGATAGTTTTTTTTTCTTTATCTCTGGTTAGTCCTTGCTACAGTCGATCAATCGATACGTTACAGAACAAAATAAAGTTTCACCACTACCACTTCTGTCTCCGCAGATAGTCAAAGTAAGAACTGAAGGAAGATGTACCTTCATCTTGTGGATAGTACATCTGTTGTTGGCTTAGTATTTGTGACGTGCCAGCGACAAGTTGATGGGCTGAAGTGGCCGCATGTTGTTGCATCAATAGCTGTTGATTCTGTTGTAAACTATGGTTCTGTTGTAAAGACAATGCATTCGATGTTTGTGATTGTGTTTGTGAAGACAAAAGCGAATTAGTATGGCTGGATTGGGTTGTACGCGCTTTTTTTGCTGCATTTATTGGTACCTGTGGCGCTCGTTCAACGACGCTCTGCTGTGATTGCTTTTTACTATTTTTGTTTGTGGACTTGTAATTTGAACTATCTGAGGTGTCGTCATCGTCATCTGTGGGAGCATTTGCGATTCGCTTGCGATCGTATGCAATCGATGTACCGCCAACCATGGTATTGTTTATATTCATACCATTGGTCATTTGATTTTTTGCATTAGATGTTTGGTTCGATGCTGCTGTTGCTGCGGCCGATGATACTGTCGCCTGATTTGTTCCTCTTGACCATGTTTTACGTCCTCCACCGCCACCTCGATTCACTGGCGGTGGTGATGTGTCGCGTTCGCCTTGTAAAAATTTCAAATAGCTTTGCATAAAGCCCGATCCTGGACCGGTTGGTGTTGGAAACTTTTTATCAGTCAATGGTGTCGTTTTCTGTTGCGACATTTGATTCGAAGAACTTGATTGTGAATTATTCACATTTTGGCCGGTGTGCGAGGTGGTGTGCTGCATGTGTGATTGCTGTTGTTGACTCGATTGGTTGTGATGTGATAGTGCATTGTTTGTGGTGGCCAGTAGCGTCAAATGATTCTGTGTGGATCCTTGATGTGGTGGTATTTGCGTTGACGTCGGTTGCATGCTCCCGCTTCGGTTATTTTCTGCAAGAAATCCAAGTTCTTCCTCAATATTCGGTACTACAACTTTTGGCGGCTCGTCTTCGCGTATCTCAGAAGCGGTGGGGGAATAATTGGATGACACACTTGGCGTACCAAGACTGTCATTGTATGGAATATTATTGGTGACTATCGGAACGGAATTCAAATTTAATTCATTCGAATAGTCGCCAATGCCAATTGGCATGGAAAAAGGGGGAAAATATGGATGGGAAATTGCATGGTGTGTGGGATGTGAAATCATTGTGCTATTGTGATTGTGAATCCTATTGAAATTGCAACTGGGCGGGCCATTTGATTGTTGATTTGGTATGTGTGCTGGTGGCGGAATACGTTCGTTTGTGCTATTATAATATTCAGAACAAGTAGGAAATGATGTTTGTTTATCATCAGAAGAATCCGCTCGATCGTTTATTTTCTTCTTTCGCCCAGTCCTCGATTTGGAGTCGTCTACTTTTTTAACGGTTTGATCGCTTAAAATAGTAGCCGAAGATGACGTCGTTTGACGCTGCCTGTACTGATTCAGTTGAGTGAACTGTGTGCTTGCTTGATTTGATTGGATTGGTTGTGACGAGTTGCCATGTGTTTTTTGAGCTGTCAAATTGGTTCGATTTTGTTGGGAAATCGATTGAGAACTACTATCGAAATGGGTACTGCTTTGTTGTGAATCAATCGAAAGAACCGGTGGAGAAATCTGATGCAGTTTGGTAATTTGAGCCGGCGTTTGATTATAAATTGGTGAATTTGCTTGCAGCGCATTTGAACCATCTAACCAATTTGACATTGACGACGACGATGACGACGACAACGGAAGGGCAGTTCTTTGAATCACAGACGAATAGGCAACTTGATTGGATTTTGACGACGAAGTTCTGGAGATGCTCGCATCAATTGGCGACTGCGAAGGATTCATTGGACTGTTGTACATGGGATAAGCTGGACTTGGTACAGCACTATGAGGTGAAGGCTGTGAATTTATTTGATGCGGGCTCGGTCGGCGTGGTATCACAATATGCGAACAATCAGTCGTGGGATTTGAATTCGGAATGGGCGAGGCACTATTGTGTTGAAACTCTTGCTTTCTCATCGATGAAGAGGCATTTCGACTGGTATTAATATTACTTGCACTATGACTACTATTGTTTCTATTGTTATTACTACCACTATACGCTACTTGAATAGGCGACGATTGTATCACATTGTTATGTATGGCGGACGCTTGACCTTGACCATGGCAATGGCCATGGCCATGGCCGTGACCTTGACCTTGAACGTTGTTGGCATTGTTATTGAGTGAAGCACCAACTGAAGAATTATTTGGTATAATCGCCTTTGAGTTCGCCTTCGTTTGCACATGATTCACAGAAGTAAATTTATGTAATGGTACGGATGATGCAAAATTTTGAGAGGCAATCACAGGTGAATTCGATCGTTCAGATTTCACACGCGTCGATATATGATGATGAGAGGGATTGGAATAATCTTTACTTATAGAAGTAGAAGGATCTGAAGATGCATTGAGTTGCGAAGACGAACTGATGCCAGTACTGCTCGTAAAACTTGACTTACTTCCACTTATTGTATGATTACTGCTGTTGCTGTAGTTGCTACAAATTAAACAAAAAAAAAATGATTTGAGTAAAAAAAAATTGAACGATTTAGTAATCAAAATTTAAATAGTGGTCACCAACTTTGGCAGATTTTTTTTTTATTAAATAATGAAAATACTCACCTATGTTGCTGAGGTTGCTGGTGTTGCAATTGCTCCTGTTGGCCTATCGATTTTGAATTCGCAAAACTAGACTGCAGATTTTGATACGGTGAGGATTGAGATGGCGTTTGATAATAAACACTGGTGCTATTGATCGAAAAATGTTTATTTTAAACGGTAAACTCTTGGCTCTAATTTAACACTGTCATTCTAACATTCTAACATTTACGTAATTATCTTCCATTCCAATACACGTAAAAAAATGTAAGGCACTTGTATCGTGTTTAGGAATTTTGGACTTCCGACTTTTGTCGGATTATACACATACTATTTTACATCTAAAAGAAATCAAATCAAAAGTTAAATATTAGCATACCTCGGTGCAGATGTCGACGCAATCGTCTGTTGCTTTATTTGTTGTTGGGATTGCTGTGGTGACATTGATCGAGCCGTTGACGACGACTTAATTATGGCATTTGCTTGGTTTATAGGCTATATTTATTATAAAGAAAGAAGAAAAAAAATTACTGTGGAAACTCATTTGTGAAGTGTAAAAAATAGTTTTATTACTCCAATAAGGTATGTACAAGGATTGGATTGGAGTATTTGGCAGCTTTGACAAAATACGCGTTCCTCAATTCATGCTACTAAAAAGAATTTGGGTTTTTTACCTGTGAGAAATGTGCGTTAAATGATTCATAAACTCCAGTTGAACTGCCCGATGATGATGAATGTTTAGTGGCCGTTGATGGTGCTGGGCTCGAGGCTACATTTTCATGTGGCAAAATTCCAAATGCACTGGGTAATTGATTGTTTGTATTTAAATCTCCCTGACTTCGAAGCGTTGTAAAGTCTGTTTGGCCTCTGGCCTGCCAGCTGAGTGCCGCTGCCGCTGCTACAGCTGAACCACTTGGCTGTTCGAAATACGATCCCGTTTGAGGCGTACTTATCGACGAATGGTGTGGTGTATAATTCTCTCGAATTATGTCTGAATCGGTCGTTTGCTTCGTAACTGCTGCCTGTGCAGCGAGTACTTGTTGCCGATGCTGAGCGGCAGCATTTATTGGATTGAAATGTGCCGGTTTTGGATTTGCGTGATGAAATAATGGTGAAAAAACATCGTAAGAAGGCGCTGATAAAAACGATGAGGGTGTTGCTTTGGAAAGGGAATAAAATGACCAAAATTAAACCATTGCTGCGGCCAAATTAATTGCATACCTCTTTTCTTACCGAATGACGCACTCGATGCTCCTAATGGTGTTGAATGTGCTGCTTGCAATAACAATTGTGATGTTGTCGAAGGTACGGCACTGACTGAAGACCCATGACTGCCACCTAAAGCACTGTTATTTGCAGCCTACAATATACAACAATTTCACAATAAATTTGAATGACTTTTGAATTAAACTCTTTTTTTTCTTGGAATATTTTTCCACCTGAGCAAAATGATGATGAAGATCTCCAGATGCGGCACCCTGTGCCGCAAGCCGATTATATGTGTACTGCCATGGTACCGCTGGGTCCATGATTTACTTAACTTATTCACGTATAAATATGCTGTACGTTTTGTATGAAATTCGACACAAAATATTTTTAGGCGCAATCGAATGAAAATTCATGGGAGTAAATCTAAGTTCACAAATTTTCTTTGTGAAATCTAGAATAATTTATATAAAATAAAATTTTCATCAAACATTTTCATTTTGTAATAAACGAAAAAAAAGAATGCCCGCATATATCGCGAAAATACTTCAAAAAAAAAAATTCTCAAATTTTTTGGGAAAAAGTATTTTCAGGAATGTTCCGGCATCCCAAAATAAAAATACAACAGTCCAAGACAATTAACACGTACCTTTAATTTTTTTTTGTTTTAATAATCAAATCATGCTGGATCGTTATTGACTAAGAATTAAATGTTCATTGATTTATTTGTGAATCGATTCTTAAATTGACGTTAATTTCCTGTTTAAATAAAAATCAATCAAAACAAATATTAATGACATGCTTTTAAAAAGAGAACAGTAGTTTTTTTTTATAAAATTATGGCCAAATATGTGTAATTAAGGAAAATAATTTTGATTCGATAGGCAAAGGCAGTTCATCGATTAAAAAATGACGAATTTTTATTTCCAAAATAAGAAATCTATCTAGTGAATTGAGCTCTGGCATAAAGTGTAGCATAAAGGCTATGCATAAAATTTCCATTTTGTTGTTGTCTTGCGAACAATCAACGACGAATATCCAGCCAACGCATACACATATTGATAATTATTGCGCGTACATATACACAAACAACAATTTTAGCGTCGTCGATAGTGCTGAACGCAAAATATAATAATAGTTTTATGTGTATAATACTCAGTCAAAGATGGTCAAATGCATTTCGATCCATACTTTTTGAAATGGATCGTGAAATAAACAAAAAAGGAGCTCTTGCTGGAGTTGACATAACATATCAATAGATGCATAGTGTCGCTTATTCTCAACATACATTTTATTGTTCTAACACTTTGGTTTGGAGTCTGTGAATGGAACACACAGGCGCATCTATGGAAATTAATTGAGAACAATCCCGATGTGATAACGATTCAACAACAAATAAATGCGCTTATACATTTTATATGTGAAATGTTTAATTGATTTTGCGCAAATGAAAATTTACTTCTGAGCAAAAATCATTGCTCAGCTTGAGCATCCATCACATTCAAACTCGCTATCTTTTATTTTAAACTTCCAACATTATATTTAAAACACATTTTGTTTGATAATTTACTGAATATGTAACACGAATGACAGATGAATCGATAAAAACAAAACAAACGATATCAACGACATTTTGACATTTACTGATGGCTTCAAATTTAATGACAAATTATTTTGAAAAAAAAAAAAAAATGATTGGCTGCGTAAATTTATTCAGAATAACGATGTTTATTTTGCGCAAATACACAAACACATTATTATGGATTTTCCATATCTGTTTAAAAAATGATATTAAGTTCGCCGGGTATAAATTCGTCGAATTTATTTTCCCAGAACAGTACTGCTCGGAATAATCACAATTTAACACACGTGTATAAAAAAAATTAAATTGTCCATATTCCAGATAAATTTGTACTCAATACCAATTTCGATTCAAAAACAGATAACACACAAATGCCGAAACTCTTGCGCGGTTCATACATCAATAAATTAGGTCTAAACACATAGGTATACGAAAGATGTAGTTGTTCAATTCACAAAAAAAACTCAATAACTTAAGCCAATTAACAATACGTTCAAAACAACAGTAGATATTCAAAATATTGTTTATAATGAAAATGAATATGTGTATTCAATAGACAAATCGATCAGTGATTGGTTTGACCAACGTTACGTTGTTTTGTTCACAATAACGATAGCTTCAATGAATTCATTTCATTCAACACTGTGTGTAGTATATTTTCATCGTTTTTGTTATTCAGTTTTTATACACATTATAAACATGTATGTTTCATTCTAATGATATTTGCACAACTAAATAAATTGTACCACGTATTGCAAATGTAAGTGCGTTTGTGTGTTTGAAGCGATTATAGAATTATCCATTACATTGACGAATCTCAAATGTGTAGATTTTTTTTTATAAATCACTTAAGACTGAAATTATAATCAAAACATTAATCACAATATATATTCTTTTGGGTTGCCTCTGTTTCTTGTTTTTCTTTTGTATGTATATAATTTTTCGACACAAAAACGTTTCATCTCTATTCATATGTATTGGATGTGATAGAGGAAGAAGAATTTTTTTTTAATAAAACTCCACCGATTTCAATTGCATTTGTGAGAATATTTATGATGTGAAAATATTGAATATACTTTTATCTGCTGTGTTTTGATGCGTTTTATATGAAACTATTGTATTAAATGCGATTCATTCGTTTTGGATAAAATTTGATTCAATTCAAATATAAAATCACCTCTAATTACACTGAAAATTGCCAAACCATTTTTCATCAATAGTATATATATTTTTTCCATTTGCACAAAAGTTTACAAATACAACAACACACACGATTTATACTAAACTCCAAACTATCGTCTCGCCTTTCACATTCATTGCGGCCATTTTGATTTTTTTTCATTGAGCAAGAGAGATGAATTGAAACAAAATCAAGAAAAAGAATAATAAGAAGAAGAAGTAAAAATATCAGCTATCTCAATATCTGAACAACGTATGAAAAGGACAAATATACCATATTGACAAAATAGTAATGTCAAATGCAACGGGACCAACAACGCCACCAACAAACGAGACAAAAATACAATAAAATTCTAGTAGTCAGTATATGTATTGAATGTATGTTACCGAAAAATGTTTCTATTGCTTGTGTGTTGGTGTGCGTGTTTTTGTTATGCTTTTAACAATTGTTCGCGTTTATATTCAATATAAGATCGACATCCATAATATAAATACATGTCATTTTTATAATGCCGCCATCAACATTAAACGTACTCATTCCACAAGCGTTCCAATATAACTAAAATGACCGGAGAATATTTCAAAAAAAAAAAAAAAAATCAATTTTTTGTGTTGATTGATATAATAAATGTATTGCATGTTTTGAGCACAATTTGTTTTACATACTAAAGTATTCCATTTTTTGGCAAAATCAATTTTTCTTTTAAAAAAGATTATATGAAACAATAGAAAGGAGTGAAACGCACCCAAAGTGCGTCTAAACATAAATTTTTTTAAAGCCGAAAAATATATATTTTTTTCAATCTAATTACGAAACTATTCATATTTTAGAGGAAAAAAACATTAAACGAAATTCAATAATTTCAATTTGAAAATGTAAATGATGTCTGGGGCTTAGTAATTTTAGACATATGATAGTAAACAGGGCAAAAATATCATTTCTCGTTTCTCTTGCACGAACACAGGCAACAAATTCGTCAAACATCAATAAGTAAATAGTGAAAGACTATGAGTGAGAAAGAGTTCGACATACTCATACTCATACATACTCAAGGCTAACGAAGGAGAAAGCAGAAAGCATTCGAACCAACTTCAAATCAATCGGTCAATGGTGCTGAAAATGTCAGAGAGCATTGAAACTTAACAATTTAGACTCTATAAACCAAATCACAATATTTTTACAAAGTTATCGTTTCTACCGCTTAACATTCATGGCTTTGTTAGTGCGAAGAAATTTCAATTAAATAAAACGATTTAGAAAATCAAATAATTGATTTCGATTGGCTGCACAAAACATCGTGATTTTTCCGTACAACATTTTTTTTTCTCCACCACCATCATTCTCTCTCTTGATTCGATACGAAAATGTTGAAATTTGATGAAAAAGAAATAATTTACATTATTTAAATTGTGTGGAAAATCAGAGAAAACAAAATATATTTATATATGGATTTGTTGAGAAAAGGAGGGTGCACAGCTTGACTGCAATGAGCGGAAAATCGAACAGTAAGCCCAAATTTTATATGTATAAATATGATGATAAAAACCAAGTAGAAGTAAGAAGGAATTTTTTTTAGAGTAAGACGGAAAATGACACACGAACAACACTGCTGTTCAAATGCCAAAGAGAAAATTTCAAGAAATTCATTTCACTTTGTGTGCTTGTGTGTGTAAAACGATCGAAAATTTATTATAGTGAAACATTCAAATTGTTTGTATTCCCGTATATATTGTCAGATTTTTAAGCAGTGAGTGAACGACCAAGGTTGATAACTTAATGTTGAACTAGAAATGTGCATAATTATTGGTAATGATTACGTGAAGCCCACCCTGAACAAACTTTTTCAAAATACAAACGTCAAAAAAAAAGATTTTGCAATAAAAGTTTAAACGAAAAAAAAAAAACATTAATAATGACAAAAATACATAAAACACAAGCATTTATAACAAGTAAATTGAAACTAATGAAACTTTTGAATTTATATGAAATCATAATACATTATGTTCACTGTTTGACCCTATCTATGTTTGTCGTATTTAATAGTCTGTTCAATAAAAATGATTTCAATGATTAATTAACTTAAAAGAGTTTTCACATGAAAAGGAATCTTAAATCAAATGAAAAAAAGAAAGAAATAGAATCGAATTCCTATCTGACGAATGTAAATAGTGTGCGAGAATGTGAATGAGTGTTGTTCGATTGATTGTTGTGATTTATTCTGATCATTGTTCAATGTTTAATTAGCAGGAATGGCGTTCAACGCTAGTGATGTAACAATGCCAAACTGTGGCGGCAGTAGCAGCACCAGTAGCACTAGTGCTACCAACAGTTTGGCCAAGGGCACTAATTTTATTGAGCGTAATAAAAAATGGCAAATGGAACTATTAATGGAACGTTTACGATCAAAATCTGCACAATACAAACCGTTACAGGACACATCACGAAATATAAGAATTGCCATGCTGGAAAAACGATATGGATTGGATATGGTTGAAAAATCGAATTTGCAAAAGTGCTTGGATCGCATGCAATACTGCATTAAAGTGACGACGCGTCAAGGTTTAGTAGAACGATTAGAAAGTTTATCACGTCAATTGGGCCTTAAGTTTTCGGATGACAATCTGAATTTGTTTATTTCGTCGGATATGTTTTATTTGGAAATCATACTTGATAGCAATGGAAAGGTGCATGACGTAAAAGTGCATCATGAATTTAAAATGGAGCAACAATCATGTCAAGAGCTAGTGAGCTGTTTGCTGAAGGGTGATTTCGCCGATTTTACTGCTCAACTGGAAGGATTGACATCGATTTATCAGCTCAACGCCGATAAAAAGACGAAAAGCAACGCATTTGTTGCACTTCAAGCGCTCGAAAGTGACCTACAAACATTGTATTCATTATATGTAAATAAAAAAGATCCAAATGTGCTAGTTCAATCACCAGTTGGCATTTTGCAGCCACGTCGTGGTGGCCATCCGATGCGACTTACCTATTTTGTGTCACCATATCAATTGCTTGATGTTGAAAACAGCACATTAAGACCATTAACCGTTGAATTGATACATGCACAAAGTTCAATTGGATTAAGTGTGACCGTGCATCTAGAAGCGGCTTCTTCAAACAAATTACAAATCACACCGATCGTTAAAGTACAAGAAGATGGCCAGGGTAATCGAATACCGGAATATAAAACAATCAGTGCCGATAATTCAATTATGTTGCCCGCATACTTTGTATTACGTTTGAACAAACCGATTGTAATTGGTGTTAATTTGTTACGTCAAATTGAACAAATTACACGCGCCAAATTTCCCGATGAAATTTTATCAAAAGCAAGTCCAATTTTAAGCCTTATAGGATGTCATGGAAGTGATGGTCAAATAACAAACACTTCAAAGGGTTTATTTGTTTCACTCACGGACCAAACGCATTGCTACTTCTTAACAGAAAACAATGATTTAACGGTAAGTTTTCTTCACATACCATTCGTCTTATACATTTCATCTTCTAAATTTATTTATATCGCTTGAATATTCACCATATTATTCCATTTTTCAGGGTGTTGTCATAAAAAGTATTCCATTCATAGAGCCATCACATGTTCCACAGATTTTGTTCATCCTTCGACAGCAATCTCTATTCAATACACTGATAACTAGTTGTATACGTACCTCCAATTACAAATCAGGTTTGTATTTTAAACAAAACAAAAAATCTTAATTAATCAACAATTTGGTACGCAGATAATGAATTATTATTATCATTATTAGATATAGAGAATACAACCATATTTGAAATTAGTGTGTTATCATGCCAACATATTTCGATTACACTGGAACATCCATATTTGGAAACAATGGCAACAATTGAGCTTGATCTAACGAATATGCCAAATATAAAATGCAACATTTTTGCATTGGGCGGTGATTACAATTCCATTACATCAGGACTGTCACGAATTTTACAAACTTGTGCATCCATACCAATCACAGTTCGCATGTTGATTAAATACTGGGAACGTGAGCACTTGAATAAAGTGCGTGGTTTAGATAACAACAATTTGAGCTTATTTTGTAGCCAACCAGGAAATACTAGTGGTAAACAATTTAATCGCAATTAATTTCAATTTTATTCTATCGAATTTGGTGTTAATGAATAAACTCTTGATCAATTTATATTTATATTTATCAGCCAATAACGTCATCAAAGCAGCTTTTAGTGATTTAGAAAATGGTACAATTAAAAATAGAGATGTGTCCAAACATAGGGAATTCAGTGGCGATTCTCAGCCCCAGCAGGTAATGAAAATATATAAATTGTCTTCCAGAATAACAATGAATTGAGAATTGTTTGTTTTTTTTATTACTTTTGAATTTAGCGTTCAATGGGTGATGATTCAAGTGATGGAAAAGCAACGAAACGACGACGGTCCGAGGAATTTGATTATTTTCGTCGGAATGATGCTACGTCAAAAGACATCAGTAAAGTTGACATGTTTGCGAGAGTTCCACGTATTGACAGCGCTTCAAAAGACGGTTGGTTTCTTTTAATTTTGAATATTTATAAAGAAAATGTCACTTAAACTCAAATTATATTAATTTTATCATAGCCAACAATCAATCGTCCGACGGTCAATTCAAATCGTCCCAGCGGTTGGCAGAAGATACATTTCGGAACTCAGATGAATTGAAAAGTTCAAAATTGTCAAAAGCAAACGTTGATTGTGATAAAGTAAAAGTGAACAAATCCGAATCCTATGATCCAAATGGAAAACGTTTAGATGGTTCCGAACCGGTAAAAAAGAAACAAAAGCGGCCTCGTGATGAGAAATCAAGTGATAGCGGCTCAAATTTATCGTCATCGGTTAGCATTACGCCGATTGCATCGATGCAATCATCAGTATCAACGTCATTATCGACTATAGGTTCGTGTTATATCCATTATTTAATTGAAAACCAAATTGTCCCAATTTCAAAAGATAATGATTACAATTATTGTATTCCTTTTCCGTAATCAGCCCAATCGACCAGTGCATCCAGTTCAGCCACTTCGAATTTAAGTTCCGTACTGGGAACATCAACACAAAATCTACCACAAGATCATTGGCCACCACTTCCATCACAGCAACATCAACAGGTTAGTTATGTTTTTTTTTGCTCAAAATACGAAATGAATGTTGTTGTAAACAAATTTTACACTGAGCGAACATTGTGTGACGAACGTAATAGTTTATATCCAATGCTTAAAAATGGCTAAAATATAAACTGACATAATTGACATGAAAAATGAAAAATAAAGATAAAGCTAAATAGTCAGAAATGTTTGCTTTCAAAACCTATGAATAGAAAGAGAAATAAATTGCTGAATAAAATGCTATATTGCTCTCTTTCTTACAAAAATACAGCAACAGTCTATGTATCGCTTAGAGCGTAGGCTGCCTTCCATTGAAATAATTCCGATATCTTCGCAGCCGACACAAAACCTGAAATCATCCATAACAATTACGCCAATAAACTCAACGTCAAAAAACAGTAGTAGCGCTGGTGCGAGCAGTGAAAAGCGCACTGGCGCAAATAATGGAAACGAACACAGTAGCAGTGGTGGCGGCGGCAGCAGCAGCAGTAGTAAACGATCATCGGATAGTCTCTCATCATCGGATAGTGGGCGACTTAAATTAGAGAAGAAGAAAAAACGAAAGCGTGAGGATAGCCCGATGGGACCACCTGAAAAAATGCCAGGTTTGTTGCATTCTGTATAAATGTTGTTAATTTTTTTTTTCATTATAGTGAATGTAACATAATTTTCATTCAACAAACACTTAAATAGTAATTAATTGATTTTATTAAATTTTAGTTACAGTCAGTATTAAAACGTCTGATGGGTCACCAATATCACCGTCTGGCCAACAATTGCTTCGAAAATTTAACTCGTCTCCGGTGCTACAGCAATCTAGTAAAATTAGCTTAAGCAGCACTTCGAGCAAAATTAGTCCAAAACATTCGCCACTTAGCGGAAGCAGCAGTCACAGCAGTCCGAAACATCAAAGTCTACCAAGTCCCAAAGGAAATCACTACAGTACATCATCGCCGAAACATTCGAGTTCGGCGGGATCGGGAAAACCAAGCATGTCCACACTTAAATCAGCAACTAGCTCACCAAATTCCAAATCAAGTATCGGTTCGTCCGGCGATCGCATTAAAACTTACTCATCCTCATCGAGCCGCGATAGACAGGTAATTTATTAGAGACAAGCACACAACACAATCATATCGCAAACATTGTCCACAACAAAAACAAAATAAGACTGAACTGAGCTCAAGATGCTACAATTCTTGAAAAGAAAATATTGTTCAAATGCACAAAAATGTTAACTGACACTGAAATAAAATGAAAAAAAGTAAAAACGCCAATTTTTTTTATTGTTCATTTGATATTGTAAACTAAATTAGAAGAAAAAAAAACAAAGTCTTTAAAAACATTATTATATTTGAGATGAAAACAAAAAAAGAAGACTCGAAAGAAAATACTCGACATGTTCAATAGTTTGGATATTGTCAAAATTTAGATAATAAAGTCACATTTAGGCTATTGACCAAACTGAATTGGATTTTTAATATTTCATGTAAAATTTGTGTTTGTTTTCTTTGTTTCAATTTTTAGGACCGAGAAAGAGATCGGGACAGAGACAAAGACCGTGATCGCTATAAATATTCATCGGGCAGCAATAGTCCGAAACTAAAGGTGCGATACATTATGTCTTGATCAATTTATACTCTTGATTAATGTGAATAAAACAAAACAAAACAAAAAATAATAATAATTGAAAAACTAAAAACGTATTATTGTTGTAATTTTAATCAGGCAAAACTATCCACATTCATCCCAGTGGATAGTTTATTGGATGCATCGTCATCTAGCCAAGACTCAATAAAATCCTCTGGAAGCAGTCAGGCTAATAAAAATCGCAAAAGTTCATTAAGCGCTGTGATAGATAAATTGAAATCAGCGCGACATGTGAATGATGAATCGCCGCCAAATACACCAACTCTATCGACGCCATCGCAGTCGATTGGTGCTGATGCAAATAATGTCTCTTCTGCATCAACTGGCCAAACTGTTAGTAAAGAAAAATCCGCATCGGCCAATACTCAGTCACTGAACTTGCCTAATGGTAAATTACACTATTTATTTATTATATATTATTATAGTAGCACGTAAAATCTATTAAGCTGATTTTCATTTTGTAGTTTCATCGATATCGATAACTTCGGTGAAAAATAATAGCGAATACATGGTTAAGCATAGTTCAGATGGCATGAAGATAACCATTAATAAAACGCGAACAAAAGACATGACATCGCCATCGTCTAAACAAAATTATCAGCATTCATCGAGTTCCAGTTCAAGTGGCAGTGGTTCAAATTCACCCAAAACACATACGGGTTTAAAGCCTGGTGTAAATAGTGGACCTGCATCGAAAAAACCGCATGCATCATTTCAATCTTCTCAGTCGGATTCAACAAAAGACTCGAATGGATCACAAAAAAGGCCAGTGTCACTGGACGGATCAAATGCCAGCAATCAATTATCGAGGTAAATTATTTTTGAGATTGCCTACATCTTCAATGCAAATCTTTTATTTATTTATTTTTTCCATGCGTTCAGTTCAAACAGTACACCATTTAATTCTTCATCGTCTATCAGTAATAAATCACTCATATCAAAGTCCAGTTCATCGGGTTCGTTGAACTCGTCATCTGCATCGCTATCAAAAACATCATCTGCACTTAATTCATCATCGTCATTGCCTAAAAGCTCAACAAATTTAATGGATAACTATAAAAAAGATAAAAATCGTTTTCCTAATAAAAGTGGATCCGGTACGTATGCATTTGAAAAGCGATCAATTTTACTGATGGTGGGCATTTTTTTAAAATTTGAATTTAATATTCTTTCAGGTAATGGTAACGATCGACCACCAACAACAAATCGAGATGTTATGAAATTGCTCGGTTTGCAGAATCCATCGCAAACTCTTGACGTATTTGGAAAAACGTGGGATACAAAATATCAAATACCCAAATTGTCAGCACGTTCAAGTGCCAATGATAAAGATACATCGACAACAAATACATCTACAGTTGCTGCTTCACCATTGAACACCCATGAAACCAATTCAAATAAGTCAATGGTAAATTTTATGTCAAGTGTGCACTCGTTCGGTGGAAATCAAATGCTCTCGAATAAAATTCATGGAGGCCGAGCATCTTCTGTTTCACCCAAATATAATTTGAATACGGATAGCATTTCAAATTTTAATAAAGATATTCACATCTATAAATCTAGTTCATCAGATGCACTTCAGCATCAATCACAGTCGAGTGGCCATCACATTCAATTACCCAGGCATGACATTGATTTGCATTTATATTTTTTTATTTTGTGATTGATTTTAATTGATTGATTTTGTTTACAGCAGCAGTGGAAATAATGCCTTTGCTTCTTTGCTCCCAAATAAATCGCCACTGCATCATTCGACATCGGTGAATACGACATCGAAAAATTTACTATCAGGAACATCACAACTAAGCGGTTCGAGCAAAAATAGCATAATCAATACTGGTTCAAATATTATGGGAACGGCCACAACATCACCATCTACTAAGGACTTGATTAATTTCCAGGATCAAATGAAAAAGAATCGTCTGCCATCCAAACCAAGTGATAACTTTGCCAGTAGCACCAATTCGTTAATGAATCCAAATCAAATGCGGAATATGCAATCGTCAGCTGTTTCATCGAATCAAAGTTCACAAGCGGCACCACTAAGGCGACCAGTCAGCGGTAATTCACCACAACAGGTGCTATTAAGTTCTGACGATGAAATAATGGACGATTGCAAATGACGTATAATTTTCGTTTACTTTTATGCAGACCTTTTCTAAAGAACTTTCCTCCGATAACAACGGTTCAGTGTTCTGGGCATGATCACACTTCACACCCCCTACGCTGCAATTCTGTGTAATGTGCGTGAAATATAATCAGCGTTTTCAATTCAATGTCTATAAATGGCGGTTCAAAATGACTAGGTGGTAAGATCTTCTTAAGATCAACAAAAAAAAATTCAACGGCGCATGGAAAAGGCGCTTAAGATCAACAATATCCATGTGAAAAAATAAATAAATAAATAAAATATTGATCAGCTATGGATCCCTTTCGATAAAATGGATGTAAAAACAAAAACAAAACCGATTCAGTCACTATCAGCGAAATCATCATCAAAAACTCATACAGAATTCTCATTGTTCAATTCATCGTTTTAATGCACTTTCATCAATATCAAGAAAAGACCTTCATATTATATATGAGGAGAATCTTGACAAAACCATTTCAAATAGAACTCACAAGAATTAATCAAAGTAAGTTTTTCTTACGTGGAAAAAATTTGACTATATCTAGTCAGCTGGTTACTTTGAGACGTTTCCTACTATCTAAATGTGATTGTCTCGTACAAAACAAGACTATTGTGGTCAACTCTAGTTTTTTTAAGTTCGCGTCCCAAATTAGCCGGCTGACTAGAGTAAGAAATATGTTTTTTAAAAAATAATTAACTTTTATCGACTTAGCGGTCGTTTATTTGTTTGACTGATTTTTGTAAATTACTTTTTCCACAAACGGGATACCAGAAAGTTTTGCGAAAAATGGCGATGAATGTGCATGAAAATGAATGAAAATTATTTTGTGAATTAATTTTTTATGTTTTGATGCCACTAAAATCATGTCAAAACCACCGACAACAGTCATTTACTGCATCCAAATGAAAAAAGTCAAAAATGTCAAAAACATTCACCGAACACAGATACACATACGCACCGCATACACCAAGACGATGAATAAAAAGTAGCGTAAATTCGGGACAACAAATATTGAAAAAGAAGAAAAAAAAATCATTGTAAAGATAATCAAATAATTTAGAGGTTATGAAAAAGAATGAAAACTAACAACAAAAATCCATGAATAGATTTTAAATTGTGGACAGCCTGTGATTTTGATTAAAAACTATGTAGCGGAAATGCATTGTACATATATATATTTGTGACTCGAAACAAATGATTATAGATTAGAAACAATGGTTTGCCATCAAAGGGATCATCATCAAAGTATCATAAATGGTAATGGGTAACTAAAAATAAATGCACAATAACTTTCAGCATCCCGTGAATCTCATATTATGCGTATTTGCTTATTCACAAAGAACAAGGAGGAAAACTACTGCTACGACGCAATTCATCAGGTATTTAAAAATGCAATCATAAATTGGATGGAATCAAATTAAAATTTCTTGGTACTAGATAAATTGCGTTGTAATACAATAGTAATCTGTCTCCATCAACAAAGACATGCTAAACAATGAAGATAGAGGTAAACAGTTGTGGATATGCTGGAAAAGGAGATAGATTGACGATTTTATTAACATATATACAATCAAAGACAGAGAAACTATTAATTAGTAAATTATACGTATATTCATGGAGTGATCGGTATAATGACTGGTTGTCTGAATATGCGATATAAAATAGGAATAATAACTGTATAATATGTTTAAAAGGAATAAGACATCTTATTTAATGAAAGAAAATTATAAAATAAATGACATAAACTTACCAATTTTATTTCAAGTTCTTTAAAATCAATGTTTTACCTTGTATAAAATACACTGTTTCGATATTAATGAAGGTCTTCTAATTGAAAATAAATAAATGACTATTGATTTCAATGGCAACATGATTCATTTACCTGATGAATTTTCCTCAAACATCCGTTCTGATCCTAGCAAAAAGGTAACCTTACCAAAACCTTAAACTAATTTATTGAATGCACGCTGCTTGCATAAAGCTTTAAAATCGTGTTTAGTTGGTTTGTACCACACATAATTTAAGCAAGGTATCATCTATCAACTTGAAACCAATTTTTTCGAATTCCTGAGTCCAATCCACTGTTATTTTTTTTTCTTTTTGGAAAATTCACACAAAAAAATGATTGTAAATGACGTTTCTCCTAAGAATTTGTGTGGGAATCTGAAAACAACTTGATTTGTACGCTCAGTTTGTAGCTCAGTTTGTAGGCCTTTCGCAAGGGGACAACCACCAAACTAGTTTTTCTAGTTTTTATAGTGCGTGAAGTTGGTTTTCTTGGTAGTTTTACGTACAATTCGTACCCCCATTAGTGTGTTTTCTAGTTTTCTAGTTTGGTGGATAACCCCTTGGCCTTTCGAATTATTGCTTATTGGTTGGATATATTTTTTTATTTAAAAATTACGGAGTACGTTATATTCATTATTTTTAAAAAGCGAAAGATGCGCTTTTGTATTTTACACTCAATTCAATTTGGTTATTATTTATTAATCTTTTTACTTTAATTTGAATGCAAAATCAACACCATGTCTGGAGAGTTTCGGATCTAACAGTTTTACATTCCTTCCATGCGCTTCCATGTTGATCATAGTTGTTTTAAAGTAAACATGCAAGTTTTTTTTATGTCGATCCGGTCCAGATTATCCGGGCGAATTTGCTCTAAGTCCGGGCGAAATCCGGGCGATGCAACTCAAAATTGTTAACTGAAAATCCGGGCGAAATCCGGGCGGAATCCCTGCAAAATTAATTTTTTCAACCAAAACAAAAATATTTTCCTCAGAAAATCTTTGAAATATTTTTCGATTTCCATAAAAATACGTTTTGGCTCGTCACTATCTCAACATTTCACTATTCCAATTCACAATCATGCCTGTCTACTCTTTTTATATTTGCCAGCAACAACCATGGTGCCCCTCTTTCTATTTTCTTCCATTTTCGTAGGTTGTGAATCGGATGGAAAAATTACCTCTGTATACATAATAACATGGCATGAAATTGAAATGGTTAAATGTGATGCGTAGAAAAGAGAAAGTAAACTAAATAAAATAAAGGCATAGAACATACGCAATTCATGCATTACTTCAATGGAGATAAAACCTCACTCAATTTCAGAGCAAGCGAAGAACTCTGTTATGCATTGCAGGAGCCACTTTCAAAATTATAATATACTCTCCAAGATCACATGATTTTTACAATATTAACATGATTATTGGATCGGACTCATTTCTTGAGCTACTTCTATTCGAATTATTGAATGCTTATACAAAAAGAATTAAAAATCATATTATACATAACAAATATAAGGTCCATGTTATTTTTGAAAAGCCTTATAGTATAAAAACAAGGTTATTTCATATGAGGTGTCGCAATTTGTGTGTTTGAAGTTTCGTCCTTTTATCTTTACTTGATTATCAATGTAAGTTCAATAAATGATGTTTCTATAGTTTTTGATAAGGTGGATTTTTCGATATAAAAAATACAACAAACTCACACATTTAAAAAGAAAAAAATCCAAAATTATTGAAGTTTTTTGTTAAAAAATTGTCGAAAATTGTAAAAATCCGGGCGAAATCCGGAATTTTTCCAGCATATCCGGTCATCCGGGCCGGGTAATTTTTCGTCCGGGTTTTTCCTCAAAAATCTGGGCGAGACCGGATTTATCCGGGCGATCTATCATGCTTATTTTAAAGCCATGAATTTCCAATTGATTCAATTTGAACTGCATAGGGCAGTTTTAAATCGATAGTAATTGTAAAGTAAATCATTCGAAATAGGTGGAACAACGTTTCAAATCTGGATCATTCAAAATATGCTCATTTGCAATCGGATGAAGAATGTCACTGTTTCCCATGTTCGCTATGAACTACAGATGGCGCTCGCATATTCACAATAACAAAAATCCATTCAAAAAGTCTAAAAAGTATAGACAAATAATTTAAAAAAGTAACAATAAATAAATTTTAAAACGATTTTTAATGGAAATTATTTTTCTTTGTAATTTTGTGAGATTACTGTTCACAATATTGAAAAATATTAAATTGGAAAAACAAAATGGTTAACATAACCTCACTTTTGTGTCACAATAATAACAAGTCGATTGCTGAAAAAATCTACAAAGCACCAGAAAATATTTACAAAATAAATGTAAATATATTTTTAAATGTTAATTTAAGTGAACATTAATATCATTTTCATTTTTGTGGGATTGGAATTCAAAATATTCGAAAATAACTACTTCATAAAGTGTGCAACATAGCCTCACTTTCAATTACGCAATTGTTGTAATGGCGTTTTTAAAGCAAATAAATTAGTTTTGCTTGATGTATATCTTTAAACATTCTTTTCCTTGCAAATGAAGTTTTTCCTAAGTGTTTGTATGGGAATCGGAAAACAACTTGATTTGTACTTTCTAACTCGAGTTTAAATTCGGATACCATTTAAATGCTCAGTAAAAAATTAAAATGTTCAGTAAAAAAATAAAAAATGCTCAGTAAATTATTAGCATTTTTTCAAATAATAAAATAACGATTTCACAGTTATTTATATAATTTGTTTGACAATATATTTCATCGTTCTCCAAATTTTTTGTAGTTTTGCATATTAATTTTTTGAAATTGCAGAGGTAAAATTGAAAAAAATCCAATGAAAATTTGATATTTATTTATGGGAATTATGTAAACCAGTTAGTTAAAAAAGAAAATGGTTAGTCTTTAAATTCTACGATTTTGATTAAAATTGCTAAGTTTGTAGTTCTTTAGATGCCCTTTCGAAAAAACATACCCAGAATACCCGATCGACCTTGTGACAAGTGGCTCTAGTACAACAAAGTACCAATTTCCGTGTATTTTCAGGAATTTTACTAATACTCTGCTCGACGCTACTTTACATTTATAGCTTTTGAATTCATAACATATTTAGGCAGCACTGCTCTAAATAAAATACAAACATTGGGACAGTTTGGGACAGATAAGTTTGTTTTAATTTTCTAATTTAATATTTTTGAAAATTGTGAACACAGAATCTCACAAAATTAGAAAGAAAATTAATTTGAAATTCATCCATTTTTACTTTTCCAAATTATTTTTCAGTACATCTTTGACTTTTTAAATTGATTTTTATTATTGTGACTGTGCGCGCCGTTAGTTGTGGTATACTTCCCAAAAATGATCACAAATGGCCAAAAACGTGAATTTTTGTAT